TATAGTATAGTATAGTATAGTATAGTATAGTATAGTATAGTATAGGATAGTATAGTATAGGATAGGATAGGATAGGATAGGATAGTATGGTACAGTACAGTTCAGTATAACCCAAAAAATGGGTTCTGCCACCATTCTTGTGAGATCTTCATGCGTTTACGTCGTTCTCGTTTTCAGTTTCGTGGAATGTCTTGACTGCGGAAGAAAGCTGCATCAGATCTGCATGCTGCACTTCCAGCAGATATGGAGCGAAGGGTAAGCGCTTTCCTCACCTATATACAAGCGCGATGTTGCTTTCACGTTGCGACTTCTGCGAAACCGCTAGACCGTACGCTGATCTAGAAGGCTTGGCCTTGTTGGCTGCGTTGCTGTTGCGGCGGGGTAGTGACGGGGACCACTGATGACTCGGGCCTGTGTCTGTTGCAGGTTTGTGTGCACCGGATGTTTGAAGGCTTCGGGCAAGACAAGGAAGGAGAACAAGTACTCTGCCAAACGTAAGCTGCGCGGCCCCCTGCACCCTATTTGCGGTTACGATTCGCGTTGTGTCGAGGCTTTCGCGAATCTTTACAAGCAACAGGCAGAAACCGGGGCCTGAAATTAGATAGAGATATACGTGCATGTCTACAGGTTAACGAGGATTACTGATTATTTATTGATTTTCTTATTACTGATATTCTACCGAGTAAACCTAAGTTTGTAGCTGCTTTTTAACGAACCCCTTTTTAACGAACCCCTTTTCATTAATGACGCGAATGATACCGTGACAGCACCCGATGCTTTTGACGTCTGCAAATCGGAATGTCGTCGGCTCGCTCTCGCTGTTGCGTGGTTGAGTGTTAACCCTGCCTCTCCTCTTTCTTTCTTCCCACAGGCATTCCCTCTACTCGTCTCGCGACATTCCTGGAGAACAGGGTGAACAACTTCCTGCGAAAGAGGGACTGCGGCGCGGGCGAGGTCATCATACGCATGGTGTCCGTTGTCGACAAGTTCGTCGAGGTCAAGCCGGGAATGCGGTCGAGGTGAGTGCATTCCCCTTGCAGCCATTTAAAGTCTAGGATAGTTAATACACAGTGAAAAACACAAGCCCATCTACTGCTTACCTACCTGCTGCTGTTAGTCTCATCATCGTATAAATAACAACAACAATGTGCGAACGCGTACCCTTGTGACACGCTGCTGCGTTTGTTCCCCTGTAGCTCGTTCAGGGGACACGCGTTGAATCCGAGGCAGCTAGTACACAGCGAAAAATGCAAGCACCTCTAGATCTATTACTGCTACTGTTGACATCATCATCTAAATAACAAAACGTGCGATGGGTGCATGGGCGATGTCTAACGTTGTCTCGGCGTAGATTTTGTGTAGATGGCTTCACGAGAAATCCGCGACATACCGCTGTTCCCCGCTACCCCATTTTCGTCGGTCGGTGTCGATCGACGTCTGGCGTTGCCTCGGCGCAGATTCTAAGGCGACGGTTTTTGCATAAACGACGACATACCACTGCAAGCGTGAACGCGCCACGTGCAGTTCGTTCGGCGGTTCATCTGGCAGTTCGATCTGCGGTTCGTCCGGCGGTTTGTCCGGCAGTTCGTTCGGTGGTTCGTTCGGCGGTTTGTCAGCCGGTTCGATTGGTGAGTCGTCCGGCGGTTCGTTCGGCGGTTCGTTCGGCGGTTCGTCCGGCGGTTCGTCCGGCGGTTCGTCCGGCGGTTCGTTCCGGCAGATCGTCCGGCAGATCGTCCGGCAGTTCGTCCGGCGGTTTGTTTGGTGAGTCGAGCGGCGTCTGACGTTCATCACGTTCCTTACAGATTCTGCGACGAGGGATTCCCGGAGACGATCCCCTACCGCTCCAAGTGTCTGTTTGCGTTTGAGGAGATCGACGGAGTGGAAGTCTGCTTCTTCGGCATGCACGTGCAGGAGTACGGCTCTGACAGCGCTGCCCCCAACTCCAGGTAAGGCGTGCTAATTATGGTAGCTGTAGAGAGAGAGAGGAGGGAGGGAGAGAGAGAGAAGAGGAGAGAGAGAAAGAGCGAGAGGTAGTCTCTGAACTCTACTTTTATGCAAGTGGTTGCCAGATATTTTATATTCATGAAGCAAGTTGTGGGTTGACGCATATGTTCTGTGTTCACTTTACACACTTTTACGACTTTTAACAATTTTACACCATAATATTTTGTGTACGCCAGTGTTTAACAGTCTAATATGTTGTGGAAGTGATCACTGAAACAGTGTACAGTGATTTCTCAGTGTGCCTGACAAGGATTTTCGTTTCGCACTTGATTGCAGGCGAGTTTACCTGTCGTACCTGGACAGTGTGCACTTCTTCAAACCACGGGAGTACCGCACGGACGTCTACCATGAAATTCTCATAGGATACCTGGACTGGTGCAAACAGCTAGGGTATGTCTGTGTGTGCGCGTGCGTGTGTGTGCGTATGCGTGTGTGTGTGTGTGCATGCGTGCGCGTATGCGTGCGTGTGCACGTGCATATACGCGTATCCGTCAGTGTTTGTCATTGAATTTAATGTTTGCATGCAAGGTTTGTTACATTGTTGGTGAGAATTATTTATATAAGTGTGATGTTAATAAGGGGGCTGGGGTGTTTTTGCGTGCGTGTTATAGGTATGTGTGGGCTCACATATGGGCGTGTCCACCCAGTGAAGGCGACGACTATATATTTCACTGCCACCCGCCCGAACAGAAGATTCCAAAGCCCAAACGTCTGCAGGAATGGTACAAGAAAATGTTGGATAAAGGCACGATTGAACGGGTTGTGATCGACTACAAGGTAATTTTACCATCCTGTCAATGTCGGTGGTGCAGTGTTGTGGCTCCATAGTGGTTACTGCACTTATGTGTTTGCCACTACTGTACGAGAAGACCTATATACAGATAACTATCCTCCTTTTGCCTTTGTGACTATGAAGTTGTAAGGATTTGTAAAGTAAGCTAGTTAAGAAAAAGCAAGTAATAGTTAATAGTAAAAGTCTTATAAAAAAGCCGCCGCAGTCCAGACATGTTGCAGGGGCAGTTGCTGTTCCAGGAGCTCTGAAACGTGAGAATCTCATTTTCATGATGCTCACATAGCCACTGATATCAACAGAGTATATGAAATGTAATCAAACCTGTGTTTATGGCCACCTCTAAACAATGAACTTCTGTTTGTAAAGAACACGTGGTGATTTCCTCCAGCGACAATTAAGCAGTGAAATCGCCTTTCTACAACGACCCCTCCCTGTCTATAAAGAATACTTTTAACCTACCAAAAGGTAGATCAACCCTCACAAACATGATTAGGGTTGAGGTTCTCCCATTCTCACCACTCTCCGAGGGTTCTCTGATCTCTCACGCCCGCTCTCACTCGACCTTCTGAGGACATTCTGAGTGAGAAGTTGCCCGTCTAGAATGTCTTAGCCTACCCCTCTAGCTCTCCAAGCGTTAGCCCAACCTCTCACGTCTGCGATCTCTCTCGACCTTGAGCGACCCTCACAAACAATCTCTCGACCTTGCAGGACATTCTGAAGGACGCGATGGAGCAGAACCTGACGTCTCCGACGCAGCTCGCCTACTTCGAGGGCGACTTCTGGCCGAACGTGCTTGAGGAGAGCATCAAGGAGCTGGAGCAGGAGGAGGAGGAGAAGCGCAAGCGTGAGGCTGAGGAAGCCGCGGAGCTGGCGGCCGCCGCCGCGCAGTCGACGGAGAACGGGGATGCCGCCGACGGAGAGTGCTCGGGAGACGTGAGTGTGCGGGCGGGGTAGGGGAGGAAGCTTGCTGTGAAGGAGATTTTCTTTTGTTCGTTATGCGTGGGGTACTGTGGATCCACATGTTTATATCTATCTACCTATCTGTCTATATGTATACACACAAACACACACACACACGCACACACGCACACATATATATATAATATACAGATATATATTTATATGTACATACATGTATGTATCTATTATTATATATATATATCTGTGTTGTAGCGATTGCTGTTGTGAAGACAGGTTCCCGTTGTCATTCTTTACGCATGTGGCACATCTGCGTTTTGACCTGGTGGTCAAGTTGGAGCAACCACGAAAAAGTATGAAGAGAGTTTACGTTAGATGTGGCATACCCACTGGCCTCATCTACTCGTTTATGACGGCAGACGATAATTTGTGGTTTCTTTCTCAGGGAATGGGGTGCGTCTTTGCTCCACTGCAGAGCGGAGGAGGAGGAGGTGCAGACAGCAAGAAGAAGGGTAAGAAGAAGTCGAACAAGAAGGCCAGCCAGAGAAAGACGAGCAAGAAGGTGAATCCTCCCCAGACTGGATGCGATCTGTCATCCAAAATCTTTGCCACGATGGAAAAGCATAAAGAGGTATGTTGTTGTTGTTATTGTTGATGTTGTTGATGTTGTTGTTTTAGTGAGGAGGTAAAATTACCAGTAGCAGTGGAGTTGCTTGTGTTTTTTGCTGTGCCTAGCTATCTCAAGCTGTTAATTGCTACAGGGGAAATACGTGATAGAAATCTAGCCTTCCTTCACCCATGTCTCCAGACGAAACACTGTAGAATAAGCCAGCACTCAATGTACATTTAGGCTTACGGTCTATATGCACATGGTAGAGCATTCTAGAGCCAATCCCATTGTTCTCCATTCAGTATAGTCTCCTCTCTCTCAACTCACTCTCTCTTTCTCTCTCTCTCACTCACTCACTCTCTCTCTCTCTCTCTTTCTCTCTCTCTCACTCTCTCTCTCTACTGCTCTATGTAAGATTGCTCCCCATCCTCCTCTTACATGAATCCCTCTCTTCACCTCTCTCTCACCCTGCCTCCATAATCTCTCTCTCTCTTCTCTATCTCATATCTCTATCTCTATCTCTAAATCTCTATCTGCTATCTATGCTCTCTCTATTCTCCTATTTCTCTATCTATCCATCTATCTATCCTCTCTATCTATCTCTCTCTCTATCTCTCTCTCTCTTTCTCTCTCTCTCTCTTTCTCTCTCTCTCTCTCTCTTTCTCACTGTCTCTCTCGCTTTCTCTTCTCTCGCTTTCTCTTTCTTCTCTTCTCTCTCTCCTTCTCTCTCTGCCTCTTCTCTCTCTCTCGTCTCCTCTCCTCTGCCTGCTCTCCTCTCTCTCTGCTGCTCTCTCTCTCTCTCTCTCTCTAGCCTCTCTCTCTCTGCTCTTCCTTCTCTCTCTGCTCTCTGCCTCTCTCTCTCTCTCTCTGTCTCTCTCTCTCTCTCTGCCCTCTGCTCTCTGCCTCTGCTCTCCTCTCTCTGCTCTCTGCCTCTATCTCTCTCTCTGCCTACTCTCTCTCTCTCTCTCTCTGCCTCTCTCTTTCTCTGCCTTCTCTCTCTCTCTCGCCTCTCCTCTCTTCTCTCTCTGCCTCTCTTCCTCTCTCTGCTGTCTCTCTCTCTCTCTGCCTCTCTCTCTCTCTCTGCCTCTCTGCCTCCTATCTCTGCTCTCGTCTGCTCTGCTCTCTCTCTGCGTCTCTCTCTCTCTCTCTGCCTCTCCTCTCTCTCTGGCCTCTCTCTTCTCTCTCTCTGGCCTCTCTCTCTCTCTCTGCCTCTTCTTCTCTCTCTCTCTCTCTCTCTCTCTCTCTCTGCCGTCTCTCCTCTCTCTGCCTCTCCTCTCTCTCTGCCTCTCTCCGGTCTCTCCTCTCTCTCTCTCTCTCTCTCTCTCTCTCCTCTCTCCTCTCTCTCTTTCTCTCTCTCTCTCTGCCTCTCTTCCATCTCTCTCTCTGCCTCTCTTCTCTGCTTCTCTCTCTCGTCCTGCCCTCTCTCTCCCGCTCGCTTTCTCTGTCTCTCTCTCACCCTGTAAGATTCCTCTTCATCCTTCTCTCTACGTGCATCCCTCTTCACCTCTCCATCTCTCTCCCGTAGGTGTTCTTCGTGATCCGGCTGCAGCCTCACCACATCGTCGCGACGCTCGGCCCCGTCAACGACCCGGACCCGCTCATCTCGTGCGACCTCATGGACGGCCGCGACGCCTTCCTCACGCTCGCGCGCGAGAAGCACTACGAGTTCTCGTCGCTGCGCCGCGCCAAGTTCTCTTCGATCGCGATGCTCTACGAGCTGCACAACCAGGGCCAGGACAAGTTCGTCTACACGTGCAACAACTGCAAGATGCACGTCGAGACGCGCTGGCACTGCACCGTCTGCGAGGTGAGAGAGCGCGCGCGTCCGCGTGATCGCTGCGCAGTGGTGCTCAGTTGTCGCGCGAGGATGGCGCGATGCACCGATGGGGCGTGGGGCGGGGCGTTAGGAAGCGGGAGTGGAAAGTGCGATGCTGTCACGTTCAGGGGCTCCCTCCAGATCCCTTTTACAATTGCTACTCACTAAATATCATCAGGGGCTCCCTCCACCTCCTCTCAACTCTTCCTACATTGATGTAACATACTTGGAAATAAAAAAATTATAATAAAAAACCAAACTTCCTACATTCACTAACTAGGGAACTGGGTTCATCATGGGCACTCTCTCTCACAACTCTTAACTGCACTCACTACCATCATGGGCTCCCTCCACCATCTCCCTCGGTATGTTTATCTTAACCTTTTATCTCTCTCGCACCACCAGGACTACGACCTGTGCAACAGTTGCTACGAGAAGCTCGGCCACATCCACCGCATGGAGAAGCTCGGCTGGGACCTCGACGACGGCGGCAGCGCCGCGGACAAGAACAGCAACCCGACCGAGTCTCGGCACCAGTCGATCAAGCGCTGCATCGAGTCGCTCGTGCACGCGTGCCAGTGCCGCGACGCCAACTGCCGGCTGCCGAGCTGCAAGAAGATGACGCGCGTCGTGCAGCACGCTAAGCAGTGCAAGCGCAAGGCGCAGGGCGCGTGCCCGATCTGCAAGCAGCTGATCGCGCTGTGCTGCTACCACGCGAAGCAGTGCCGCGAGCTGCGCTGCCCCGTGCCGTTCTGCCTCAACATCAAGCAGAAGCTGAAGCAGCAGCAGCAGCAGCAGCGCATGCAGCAGGTGAGTTTTGGGAGGGCATGGCGGGTGTGGAGGGGGAGGGGTTGTGGTGGGGAAGGGTGGCGGCAATTCGGTTGTCTCTCATCGTGTGACTAGCAGTGCATTCGTGCGTGATGGAGCCGAGGTAGTATTCAGTTAGTGGTTAACTATTAATATATGTTCGTTTGCTTCTGTCTCATGTTTCTATCACATATTCTTTCACTCGTTTAGATAGCGTCTTGTTAGGGATTCATTCATTGTGGGTGCAAGTCTCTTGATTCTAACGTGCTAATGTAGAGTAGTCCTGTCTACGAGGAAAAGCTAATGCTAAGGCTAACATTAAGATTAACTTAGTGTCCGATGTCGAGCCCCGGGCTGTGCGTATTCAATGCTATAAACTCCCCCCCCCCCTCCCCGAGCGCACCCGATTCACTGTGGCAACGATCCGCGATTTCAGGAGCAACTGATGCGGCGACGCATGGCGGCGATGTCGCAGCTTAGCAACAGCGCTCCGTCGATACCGTCGACGCCGCACCACACGCCGACGCCGTCACAGCCTCCGACGCCGCAGCCGGCGACCGCGCAGCACCACTACCAGGGCACGGGCATGAAGCCGGGGATGAACGACGGTGGCAAGGGCGGCGCCGCGCCCATCGGCGCTCTGCAGGCGGCACATCAGGTAACGATGGCGCGTCGTGGTCGACGACGAGTCGTGAGCTTTCTGTCTAGAGACAACTAGAGCATCGGTCTCTCATCTGGGTGTCTCTAGGCAGACTAGGACTAGAGTCAGAGTTTTCTGGGTGTCTCTAGGCAGACTAGGACTAGAGTCAGAGTTTTCTGGGTGTCTCTAGGCAGACTAGGACTAGAGTTGGAGCATTCTGTAGATGTCTAGAGATAACTAGAGACTAGAACTAGAGTCGGAGCTTTCTACATGTCTCTAGGCAGACTACGACTAGAGTCGGAGCATTCTGTAGATGTCTAGAGACAACTAGAGACTAGAACTGGAGTCGCAAGCTTTCTCTATGTCTCTACGCAGACTAGGACTAGAGTCGGAACTCTGTATATATGAATAGGAAATCTGAAATGGAATTCTCTAGATGCCTAAGACAACTAGAACTGGAGTCGGAGCTTTCTAGGTGTGTCTAGGCAGACTAGGACTAGAGTTGGAACTCTAGGTGTGTCTAGGCAGACTAGGACTAGAGTTGGAACTCTAGGTGTCTCTAGGCAGACTAGGACTAGAGTCAGTTTTCTTGGTGTCTCTAGGCAGACTAGGAGTAGAGTCGGAACTCTCTAGATGCCTAGAGATAACTAGAGACAACTAGAAACTAGAACTAGAATTGGATTTATTTAAACCTCACTAATATGATCTAATTAAACCTCGCTAACATCCCCGCGTCGTGTTTCAGATCCAAGCTCAGGCGGCGCGACAGCAGGTCTCCACTCCGCCGGCCAGCTACGGGGGAAAGGGGGGCGCGCCCGGCGGAGCCATCGCTGCAGGCATGATGCCACCGCCGCCCCAGCAGCAGCAGCAGCAGCCTCCATCACCGCAGCAGCAGCAGCAGATGCAGCAGGGTCAGCGGCAGCAGACGCAGCAAGCCCTGCAGCAGCTGCTCGCGAAGCTGAAGTCGCAGCCGTCGCACGAGCAGCAGTCGCAGGTGCTCAACATCCTCAAGTCGAATCCGCAGCTGATGGCCGCGTTCATAAAGCAGAGAACTGCGCAGCAGCAGCAGCAGCAACAACAGCAGCAGCAGCAGCAGCAGCAGCAACAGCAGCAGCAACCACCCCAGCAGCAGCAGCAACAGCAGCAGCAGATGATGCCAGGGGGAATGCCTGGGGTGCCACCACAGATGCAGCTGCAGATGCAGCAGGGCCAGAACACTCCTAAGCAGCAGCAGCAGCAGCAGCAGCAGCAGGCCACCCAGCAACAACTCGTGCAGCAGCAGTGGCTACGCCAGCAGCAGCAGCAGCAACAGCAGCAGCAGCAGCAGCGTCAGCACCTGCCCCCGGGACAACAACAGCAGCAGCAGCAGCACCAGTTCCAGCATCCGCCGGCGCCGCCCTACCCGCAGCAGCAGCAGCGGCAGCCGCTGGGTTTCGCGCCGGGCTACCAGCCCGTGGACGGCGGCATGCCGCGCGCGGCCGTGCAGCAGTTCACGCAGCAGCAGCTCATGCAGATGCAGCAGCAGCAGCAGCGGCCCATGTCTCCGCAGCAGCTCATGTTGCTGCAGCAGCAGCAACGGCCTATGTCGCCGCAGCAGCTGATGGCGGCGGCGGCCGCGCAGCAGCAGCAGCACGCGGGCGCCGCGCTGGCCTCCCCGCAGCAGATGCTGCACCAGGTGCGCTCGCCGCCGCCCAACACGCCGCTGACCGGCCGCTCCCCGCAGCCCGTGCCGTCGCCGCGGCAACGACCGATGCCGTCGCCGTCGCCGCGGCAGCACGCGATGCCGTCGCCGCACCATCCCGCACAGACACATTCCCCGCACCCGGCCGGCATGATGACGCCGGACCACCAGATGAACTCCGACGTGATGTTGTCGCAGATGGCGCCGGCGTCGCGGCCGCTGCAGAGCCCCGGAAATCAGGACATGGGCTCGATGGACAATGACCTAAACACCTACAACACGCCACAGGACCAGCTGTCGCGGTTCGCCGACAACTTGTAGCAGCAGCAGCAGCCGCCGTGTAATTAGTAGCATAGAGAGCATATAATAATATAAATGGTTTGTTACCTGTAAAATAAGTGAAGTAATAATATTGTAACTATTTTCCTTTTTCAGATATATTACGCGCATTTTGAGATAAATGACGATAATAGAGAGAAGTTTTATTATGACGAATGAAATATTTTATACAGAGCTCAGCGAGCAGCCGTGAAACAGCCAATGTTTGCGTTAGTAATTTAAGAAGTACGTACGATGACGTGGGTTTGAATCCTTTTTCTAAAAGTGGATGGAAAAACCCAGAAATGTAAAAAGTGAACGTGTCCGCTATAATTTGTATAGGTAGCATCAATGGTGAACTCTTTCACGTAAATTAATTTTCGTTCTTCGATTAGCTTCTAGTTGGGTGTAGATAGGCATGGATAATTATTATATATTGAAAGGTGTAAAGTTTTATAATGAACATCCCTGAAATTGCCCCATCCCCCTGCATCATAATACTTTAGTGTGTAGGAGAAAAACGATCATGCTATATAGTGTCAGTGATATCTCTGCGGTTGTTGCCACATCATGAAGTCTAGCAGATCTTGTTGTTGTGCAGAGATCGCACACTGTAATCTTGTTTCGTACTTATTCCTAATCCGTTGTCTGAAAATAAATGTGTGCACTTTTGCAAATTTTACGGTTGGCGACCGGGCGTTTTCTTGTTGTGGAGACTCGCTTGCGTAAGACGCACGCACGCACGCACGCACATGATAAGTGAAATATCATGATACATGTATCAATCGATCAGAATGAAAAACTCCAAGAACATAATAGACGTGAAGATTGGAAGATTGTCGTCTATATACAACATGGCTCCAGGGCGTTTTATTTCAATTATATATGTCACAATTATATTAACAGGAGTGTATAAAATAGATGTAATATAGAGTACTATGTTATACACATATTAACAACTTGCTCTCACTCATTGTGGGTGTCGTGCACACATGCAAATCTCGTCTACACTATAATATACTAAGTAACTACACAGTACTATCTACCCCTCCCTTCTCCCCCTTTTTTTCTCTCCCTTCATCCCTCCCTCCCTCTCTCCCTCTATCTATCTCTCTCTCTATCTCTCTCTATGTTTTGAAACACGTCGATAGAACACGTCGTGTATACGTATTCCATACACCGCCACTGTAATAGCAGTTATGTTTCTTACCGCCAGAATTTTGCAAATGTCCCCTTGTCCTTGGTGACGTATTAAATACATGCACATTATTATAATATATATGTATATACACTGTATATACATACAATCAGGGGCGGATTAAGGCTCACTGGTGCCCTAAGCACTGACCAATCTTGGTGCCCCCCTCCTTTCCACACGGACCCAGTCCATTTTAGTTGTTGACCTGTCTGACCAAATATACAATGCAGGTTGCAGCAATACAAAAATATATGTAGGCTTTTAAGGAGGGTGGTGATAAACAGGCGGGGGGTATGGGGGTCCTCCCCCAGAAAATTTTTAAAATGTAGATCGCAGGAGATGGTATTTGAGGCAATTTTGAGCGTGCATGCATGTACAACTTCATTCTGACTACGAGTCAATCTATTTGTTTTTTTTTTACACTTTTCAGTTGTGAGAAAGACCTCTCTGTTGTGCAGTTGGTGACCATTAATGTTAAAAATATTCTTAAGGCAATTTCAACATTTGGAAAGGCACTCTCTAGTTTGTCTTCTGTAATTGTGTTGTAAAGTTCCATGTGAGTGAAAGATGTTTTCTTGGTTGTTTTAAACTTATGAAGAACATATGAATGGAACTGCTGAAGCTCTGTAGACAAAGTGTTGTTCATGTCATCTGGATAAGCATCAATGAGTGTCTGACAAGTCTTTGAGTACCTTTCACTTTCTGATAATTGGGAATTATATATATTAGCACCTTGTTGGGTGGCATTAGGGCCCCTTGTATTGTATTGTATTGTTGGGGGCCCCTTGTGGTACACCTGGGAAGTACAAATCTTTATTCGTTTTTTTTCTTTTCACCCTTTTCCCAACTTTGTGGTGCCCCCTTTGGCCCTGGTGCCCTAAGCACGTGCTTAGTCTGCACTGTTAATCCGGCACTGCATACAATGATACATACACACACATATATCTATATATATGTATATATATATATATACATGTAGGCGTTGAAAAGACGTCTTTACCACGATATTTATCGTAAAATCGTAAAGAAATCTCAGAAGAAAAACACCAACAACGCGCTGACATAAACACGTACGATAACATACACGAAAGCACTCATCGAGTCCGACGGCAGCAGTAATGGCGCTCCCGCTGCCGCGTGAGCCTGCCGACAGTGCTCGCTGTTGTAGTCGGTGTGCGTACCGATGCAGGCGGCGAAGGCAGCAGCGTGCGCGACGTACGTCTGCTCGTAGACTCCGCGGAACAGGTGCGACATGGTGCCGTGAGCGTACACGGCGACGTCCTCACCTGCGTGCGGCGACTTTGACCTTGGAACTGCGGCCTGCTGCCGATAGTCGGCGCCACCTGCGGGGTTATATTACCTTTAGATTATTTGGTTGTGATTATTATTATTATTAATCGTGATTGATCATCGTAATTGTTAATAATCTAAGTAATTGGATTTAAATTTAGTTTGAATTAAGAATCAAAGCTAAATTGATTAATAATTGATGGAAGATTTTATCAGTTCTTTTGAGATGCCGGCGACATTGCGAAGAACGATTTATGCTAATTATGCTTGTATGAAATACACAGCATTCCTAAGTCTTTTCCATGCATATGGCCGTTTTAACATTCGATTATTGCAAATAACTACTTGTGTCAACGCTTGTGATATCTTCTCTCGACGCATTCACGGACGCGCCGGGTGATATGGCGTACAGAAGAGTAGTGAACGGCAGAAAATCCACATCAGAAGGTTCCTCAACCTTTCCTGCAATATATAGACGGTATATGAAATTACTCGCATTAAGTTGCTACGGTACTAGGATTATCGGTAGTTACTTTAGGTATTATTTATTATAGTTTTAGTATTAAATAATATGCAGCTCGAATGGGCGCGGTGATGACGTGGTGGGGGTTTAGTGGTTATTGTATTTGTGTTGTTGTTTTCGTCGTTGCCGTCGTCGTCGTTGTAGTCGTCGTCGTAGTCGTCGTTGTTGTTGTTGATGATGATGATGTTGTTGTTGTTGTCGGTGGTGTTCTTGTTGTTGTTGTTGTTGTCGTCGTCGTCGTCGTCGTCGTCGTCGTTGTCGTTGTTGTTGTTGTTCTTGTTGTCGCGGTTGTTGTTGTTGTTGTTGTTGTTATTGTTCTTGTTCTTTTTAAGATTGTGGTAATATAGGCCCCTACTGTGCTTATAAGAATTATTATGATATGAATATTAACAATTTATTTCATATAATATTATCGTACTGTCACAACGAACCAAACCACCAATGATCTAGTACATACCTAGTATCGGGTTTCCCCTTGAAGGATATCCAACCATGGACATTGCGTGAGAGTGGTCGGCTGTGACGATGATCAGAGTATCGTCAGCGTCGGTAAGCGTCAGGGCCAGCGTTACTGCTTCGTCTAGCTGCAGGGTCTCATACAGAGACTTCGCCGCTACGCCAGCGTGATGACCCTTGTCGATGTTACTGCCTGCGAATAACCTTTAAACTTAATGTCTACTCAATGCCAACCCAATGTTAACTCAATGTCAACTCAATGTCAACTCAATGTCAACTCAATGTCAGTTTGTCAGCAGCGCCGGGTGCGAGGGACGTTGACAGAATCATCGCAGCTCTACGACAATGATTCGACCTTAATTGATTAGTAGATAATGACAATGATCATGATTGTAACATAAAGTTGCGACCATGGCTAAAATAATGCGACTGAATGAAAACGATTTCACGACAACACTGTCAACGTTCACATATTCAAACGTTGTCGGAAAGATCTACTAAATTATACAATTATAATTTAACACAAAGTGACTCTACGATAATGATCAGTACTATTATTAAACGCGGTGAAGTTTTACGACTAAGGTTAATATTACGATTCAAAATGTTTCTGCCAACGGCCCACAGGTGTCTCCCACCAAAGGTTTCCGCGTGTAGGCCCCTGCGTGCACATGGTGAGCCGAGCTTAATTCAATATCGCCAGGGAATGCATATAACAGTGGCAATCGATATTATAACGAGTACGTTATATTAGGATTAGGGTACGTATAATAGTACTTACTTTCTACGAGAAGGAAAAATCCTTGCTCTTGATTCTTCTGCAGTATCTTGATGGCTTTTTCCGTCATCTCGGTCAGTGTCGGCTCCTTCCGACTGCTCTCCGGCAAAGCAAGGTTGTCCAGGTGGAAACCCATGTGGCTCGAATTAAACAGACCTTGAGCCAGAATAGTGTTATAATGTGGTGTATAAGCGCGCGCGTATCCTCTGTGAGAGACAATTGATTTATAATTGATAATGACAAGCATTTGATACGATAAAAACAATAAACGTTTCTGTGTGGGGGTGCGTGCGTGCGTGTGTGTGTGTGCGTGCGTGCGTGTGGGTGTGCGTGTGTGCGTGCGTGTGTGTGCGCGCGTGTGTGCGCGCGTGTGTGCGTACGTATGTGCGCGCGTATGTGTACATGGGCGGCTCGCCTTCGGCAATACGAAATTAAATATGTTCATGTAGTCACGACGACATTTTGGTTGTCCCATCTGAACGTTTTTTTCAAGGTCACTTTAATCCTGCTATAAGCACGTACTGCGCTATTTACCTAATAAACAGTCCGTAGATGCAGGGTTAACATTATTAAGGTCTTTTCTGTTGACTACAAATCCATTGTTGCAGCCTTCTTGCGTTCGCAATGCTGTCCACTCTGATATCAGATTTCTGCCATCGGTTCGTTTGCCTGGTACTGTGTCAAAGGATGGTGTTAACGTATTGGGTAAGAAGTAGGACCATCCGCCTCCTAGTATTACCTATAGTTGCAAACGAAATCATATATATATATATACATAGGGCGGATATAAATTATGGTGGCAGGCAACCCGAACAGCGACGCGAGCGCATTTCATATGTACATTAGCATAGGAAAGGGATTGTGGCGTCACCTGCTATTGGTGTGCTTGCGATGGTGGATATAACTATTCACATTTCCCCAGGGCATACCCCTGCCCATTTTCGCTTCTGTCGAGTCAAACATGCTCACATCTTTGCTTCTGTCAAGTTAAACGACCACATCAATTTTAAGCTTTCGTTAATTCAAGCGTGCGCACTTTTTTGCTTCAATCAAGTCAAACTCCCGCACCATCTTTTTACTTCTGACAATTCAAACATGCACACCACATTCTACCGCCTTTCAACTATCTTTTCTACCGCTTTTCCCCAGTGTCCCAACCAATCGCTCCCTCAGCAAGCTTTATTTAATATGCAGTTTTATTCAGTCGGTACTGCACGCCTGAAACGGTACTCGCGCATGCGCAATATCTCCCAAGAAAAAAAATATTTTGCAAAAATTAGGCAGTTAAAATGAAGAGGAGTTATCCTAGCATAGATTCATATGTTAAAATTTTATTAGTAGACTTTACTTAAGTAATAGAAAGAAGTCCCTTCAAGTAAGGTACCCGCTGTGTATTCCAGTCAGTACTCAATCTGGCTATGTTAGTGTCTTAGCGCATGTGCAATATCTCACCAGAAAAGTTATATTTTGTGATGAATATGCATTTAATATGGTGAGGGGGTATCTATGCATAGATTTCTCAAAGAATCTTTTATCAGTGGATCTGTGTTTATAATTAGGAGAGCGCCCTAGCCTGTAGAGTGCAAAATCCCTACTTCATTTCTTTGCGTCCTTCCCATTGCCACCCCCACTCAGCCACTTTCTTTTTCTACCGCCTTTCAGCTATCTTCCCTGCCTCTTTTCCCAGTCTCCCAACCACTCTCTCCCTCAGAAAGCTTTGTTACGCAGTTTTATTCAGTCCGTATATACTGCACGCCTAAAACGGTACTCGCGCATGCGCAATATCTTCCGAGAAAAAGAATATTTTGCAAATAGTATGCATTTAAAATGAAGAAGAGTTATCCTAGCATAGATTCATATGATAAAATCTCATCAGTAGACTTCATTTAAGAAATAGGAAGAAGACCTTTCATGTATTGTACCCGCTGTGTATACCTGTCAGTACACAATCTGGCTACGTTAGGGTGTTAGCGCAGGTGCAATATCTCACCAGAGAAGTTATATTTTGTGATGAATATGCATTTAATATGGTGAGGGGGTATCTATGCATAGATTTCTCCAATAATCCTTTATCAGTAGACCTGTGTTTATAATTAGGAGAGCGCCCTAGCATGTAGGGTGCAAAATCACTACTTCATCTCCTTCCGTCCTTCCCATTGCCACCCTTGTACCTCCCTCAGCCACTTTCTTCTTCTACCGCCTTTCAGCTATCGTGCCGGCCGCTTTTCCTCAGTCTCCCAACCACTCTCTCCCTCAGAAAGCTTTGTTACGCAGTTTTATTCAGTCCGTATATACTGCACGCCTAAAATGGTACTCGCGCATGCGCAATATCTCCCGAGAAGAACAAGAATATTTTGCAAAAATTAGGCATTTAAAATGAAGAGGAGTTATTCTAGCATAGATTCATATGATAAAATTCCATCAGTAGACTTCACTTAAGAAATAGGAAGAAGACATTTCATGTAAGGTGTGTTAGCGCATGTGCAATATCTCACCAGAGAAGTTATATTTTCTGATGAATATGCATTTAATATGGTTAGGGGGTATCTATGCATAAATTTCTCCAATAATCCTTTATCAGTAGACCTGTGTTTATAATTAGGAGAGCGCCCTAG